CTGCTGTGAGGATTTCACCCTTTACTTCAGACTTTAGAAATGCTCCATCAATTCCAATTAGTCTCCTACAACCCTCTAAGAACCCCTTCTTGCAAGCCTCAAAGCAGACATAAAACCTTTCAAAAATTGGAGTGGGCTGCATGACCTGAAGTATGCAAGTATTCCCTGAATTGGACCTTATTATTTCAGCCTTATAATCCTCTAAGTTTTTGTACTTTGCCTTAATGTCCCCCTTTTCCATCTTTCTGAGAATAGACTTGGCTTTCTTCATTTGCTCAAGAGACACCTCACAGTTTAGTTCTTTCTTCACCATCTCTCTCATTGAGGCTACTTTCATCTCAGAAACTCCAGGTTTAGTTTTGAAAAAATTATTAACTAACCATTTTGCTGTTGCACTAGGTATTTGCCACCCTTGATTGCAGGTGTGCTTAGCATTCAAAGTCTTTACAACCCATTTCTTACTACTACTTCTATTATCTATCCCAAAGTAAGCCACCCATGTGCATGTTTTATTTAAATTGGAACACTTGGCCAATAATAAGGATACTTGTTAGTGACAGAATATTTATCAACTGCCTCCTTCACTTGAGATTTGCATTCAAAGCTCATTCCCACTGAGAACTCAACTTTGTCATCTGTTTTGAAACTTGGAAACTTGCTTTTCCTTCTAACAACCTCTTCTTCTTCCTCTTCTCCAGACTTGTAACTGCCTTCATCACTTGAGGTGAAATAGTCTGTTTCATTCCCATCATCCTCCACAGGCAAGTCTTCTTCATGTATGCTTTTGTCAATAGATTTGTGCCCTTTACTTTTACCCACAACCTTCTGATTAGTCACCAACTTCCTTAGCAGTACCCTCCCCTGTTCTAATTCCTCATCATCTTCATTTTCAGAGTTGAATTCATCTTCAAACAATAGGCCAGCTTCTGCCTCAAGAACTGCATCTTCAAATCCCAAATCAACAATGAAGGGCACGCTGCCACCACTCTCAGTCTCTACTTCAGCAGTAATATTATCTTCTCCTTGTCTATTTGAAAACAATATATGTGCCCAATGGTAAGAGAATTAAGTAATTGTTGGACAAAATGTTTTTAACACACTTTAACAGTCAACTCACCACCAAATTCGAATGCACCACAATCCTAACAAAACATGTGTTAATATGTGCACAAATTGTCATTTTTAGGGTTATGCAATATATTACCAAGCATTCAAGACATGACACAGCACTCAAAACATAAATTGGATAGTTTATAGGAAGAGCTATACAGGGGATCAAAGCTGGCATCCGTTCCGTTCTAAACTGCGTTCAAACCTCCAAAAACGGGGTTGGGAACAAAAATGAAGTTTTTACTAACTTCAGCCATTACTTCCTCAATACATATGGGTAAAGAAAAAAAGTGAAATCGTACAGACAAAGTAATGTATAGCAGAGTACCTTTCATCAGTTTTTTCAGTCTCCATCTTTAGATTACCACTTCAACACCTTAGTTACTCTTTTCTTTAGGCTAAGAACATCACCGTTTCTTGTCTTTTGAGTCTTCGTACGAATAGGTTAGGGTTTCAAACTTCATCAAACGTGTAATCAGCAACTATTTAACGGGTGATGTGGACTGAATTTCGACAGATCAGTATTCCGTTTGCCATATCAGACAATTAACATCTAAATACGGTTAATGTACTGATTTAACACCGAAAAACCTATTTCATGTACTTCCTGGTTCCAGATGTAATATGAGGTACTCTTTATGCTACACTCTACAACTTCACGTACTTAATTGACATTTTTCTCCTTTAGTAACGCAGACGTTTGTTGACAAGGGATACAAATAAGAGAGTACAATGATTGTAGCACCTGGTATATGTGACTATGTGAGCCAAGTTGTGATGTACCACCAACAAATTTTTAATACATAAAATATCCCTACCTTGATTCATGCTTATTATTTTGTAAAGATATGCCGTTTGAATTTTCAGCTTATCAACCAATTTTTTCACCAAACACGTAACTTTTGCATTCGCGCGCTGAATTGTGTAATAAGTAGAAAAAGTAAGGTTGTAATTACTTTCTTGACTGTATTGGCCGAAGTTACTGTAGATGACCATTTTAGCTTTTTTTTTTAAAATATGATTTTTTCTTTATTTTATTAATAAAATATATTTTTAAAATATTTTTTTCTAAAATCAGCAGAATCAGCCAATGAAGCCAGAACTTCATAAATTTAAGCAGAATCAGCCAAAACAGCCGATTTTTGTGCAACCAAATGGGCTTTTACTTAAAAAAATCAATCAATCCGACCTTTTAACTAATTTTTGACTTAAAATAATAAATATTATATTAAAAACTTTAAAAGTTGTTTAAATTTAGAAGAAATGTTAATAAAAACAATGGATAATTTTTTTTTGATCATCAAACGGGCCTCTATTCATATCAAAAGATTCAAGATCATTACATCAAGCAAAAGGAAAATAAAACTGACACCAACTGAAACTTCAACAACTACGACTGTAGCCCTATGGTGAGACTTTGAGACGGTCACCCCTGAGAGAGCAACACGAATCGCTAACCATGTAGTGGGCTTGACACAGCCAAACCTATTCCCACAGATCCAACCATACCCAATGACATAAAGAGAGACAAAAAACTCAAACAAACTGTCAAAACCAACAACAAAAGTGGACACAAGAAAACAAATAACAAACAGATAAAAACTACAAGAAAAGCGTTCACGAACTCTAGCACCTCGTACATCCCATGGTGGTGGTTCAGGAGGAGGTCTTACCACCGGTACCATGCTAATTGATACTCCATGACCTTTGGCTGCCAAAGGCCATGCATCAATCCTCCGTCCCTGCATAACCAAACTCATCCCTGCTCCATGCAACCAGAGTAAACGGATAGACGGCGCCGATCTTCTCCAATGACGACAGCAACGCATCATCCTCAAACCTTGACCACAATGCCCATCTCTTCGAGCCATGACAGCAAATCCGCCCTTCGAGGACGAAGCACAAACAACAACAGCCGTCCTTCGATTAAAATCGAAGACGGAAATAGCGGCCGTCCTTCGATTAAAATCAAAGACGGAAAAAGCCTCCAAGCGGCCGAAACGCTAGAGAGAAGCGAGAGACCCTTTACGATTCCTTCACCCGAACTAAACGAATAAAACAATGGATAATTTAACAATGTCAAAATCCTTGCAATTTTGAAATTATTATTAATATATTCTACGTCTTTTTAAAAGTTAGGATATAATATTACTACGTAGTACGTACTATAGTACATTTTAATTTTAATATTGGGAAAAAGGTACAAATATACCCTTGTAGTATGGTTGTGGGAACAAATATACCCTTGTTCTATTTTTCGGAACAAATATACCCCTAAACTTTTAAAAAGGTGCTACTTTTTATCCCTCATGTTCTTATAAAGGGACAAATTAATTTATATTGACTTTAAATTAATAAAATAAATTTCAGAAAACAACAAATATAAATTATAAATTCGAAATTTAAAAACAAAAAATTTTAAAAATGTAATAGTGTCTAATTCTCCCTTTTATAGTTTTTATATCACAATTTAATATTGTTTAAGCATGATATTATTTCAAAATTTTACTATATGTTTAAGATTCTTTCGAAAAGGTGCAACATATTTTTTGCAATGTAGAGAAAAATTAATTTTTTGCATCCTTTGCACTATAAAATTACATATTTTGAAATAATATTTTATACTTAAAATATTAAATTGTGATATAAAAAATAAAGGGAGAAATGGACACAATTAGATTTTTAAAATTTTTATTTTTAAATTTGGATTTATTAATTTATTTTTGGTCTTTTTTGAAATTTGCTCGATTAATTTAAAGTCAATAAGGATTAATTTGCTCCTTTATAAAAAATGAGGGATATTTTTGCACCTTTTTAAAAATTCAAGGATATATTTGTTCCGAAAAATATTACAGGGGTATATTTGTTCCGAAAAATAGAACATGAGTATATTTGTTCCTCCACCTGTACTACAGGTATATATGTACCTTTTTCCTTTTAGAGCTCGTTTGGTAGCACGAAAATCGGCTGTTTTGGCTGATTCTGATGAAATTTATGAAGTTCTGGCTGAAGTGGCTGCATTGGCTGATTTTTCTGATTTAAGAAAAAATTATTTTTAAAATATATTTTATTAATAAAATAAAGAAAAAATTATATATAAAAATAATTAAAATGGTCATCTACAGTAACTTCAGCCAATACAGCCAGAAAAGTAACTCCAAACTTACTTTTTCTGCTTATTATACCATTCAGTGCGCGAAAGCCAAAAGTTACGTGTTTGGTGAAAAAGTTGGATGATAGCTGCACAAAAATAACCCGAACCCGCATAACCCGCCCGATCCAACCCTACCCGACCCTATTTAATCGGGTATTTGATTTTTAAAAATATTCATGGGTTAAATATGTTTGAACCCGCACCTATTGGGTAGGGTTGCGGAATTAAAATCTTAAACCCGATAGTACCCGACCCGGCCGAAGTTCATATTACTATTATTATGCTACAACGTTTTCTTGGATAATTTCAATTTAAGATCAATGTGCTCTATCTAGGACTTTATGATATTAGAATTATAATTAAACATTTATCATTTTAACTCGGTGATTATTATATATTTACGTTTCCTTCTAAATGAACTTCCTTTACGGAAGGATGTTTTAATACTATTGCCTAATGTTTTTGCTTATAAAAGATACGAGTACTTGTAATTGTTTGTATGTCTTGGAAACAAGTTAATCGAGTTTTAAATTGGTTACATTAATTTCCCAAATGAAAGATGCAACCCGAAGTGATTTTTTACCCCAATACCCGACCCTACCCGACCCGTTCATGCATGGTTTACCAACAAATTTTGGGTACCGCGAGTTGGTTAATAGCCAACCCGAACCAATCGGGTAGGCCCGAAAAATACAGCAAACCCGACCCAACCCGCCCGATGTGCAGCACTAAAGCAAGCTAAAAAAATAGTGTTGCCTCTTGATAATTGAATCCGAAATTTCAGTACCCCGCGCGGATCTATCTTGCAGCGAACGCTCCTCCTCTCCGGAGACGTTTGATTTCTGCCCTCCCTATATCTGTCGGAGCACCTCTGTCGTTGCTACCATCTGCTCTCACAAGCGACAAGTCCGACGGGATTAGGCCTTAGGTTCTGCCAATTACTGGATGCAACTTGACCTCCTGCATCCGTCAAGACGAAGGTACTCAATCTCACCACACCCGTTATTCTTTTCATGGTCCTGGCCTAGTTCTGAATTACTGTATTCACTATTCATCATGAAGCTATCTGTTAATGTTTCTTATAACAGGAAAAACTCTAAAAAAGATCAGAACCAAGACTAGTTTTTTTCTTACCTAATAATGCTTGAACCTTGGTAGACAATCTGATAATTTTACCAATCCTGAGCTGCAATGTGTACATTTCAAACATACATTTCAGAGAATAGAAATTGAGCTTTGGATTTCATATATGCTTTTTGTTTGGTTGGTTGTAAACAATGATTAATTGTATTTAACTTGGAATACTATTTATATTTTTAAGTATACCTTTAACGGTTGATTGAGTGAAGACGTTTTCATCTGTTTGTTAATTTCTGTTTACAGAAATTAGTGCAGTCTGAGGGGGGTTACAGCTAATGAACAGCTTGTTTCGTGCATGTTCTGCTGCTATATCATCAAACACAACAAATCGGATAGGGACGAGTTCATTTTGCAACTTATCAGCTTATCCGTGGAATGCTAGTGTCAATAATGCTGGAGTTGCAAGTGTTAATTTCAGCTGGTTTTTGAAAAACGCTTGCGTTAGGTTGTATTCATCTAAAGGTCCTCGGCGAAAGAATACTCGATCTAAGAAGTCTGGTCCCGCTCTTGCTACTCCTCCAATAATGAATGAAGACAGAGACAGTTTCTTTGTCGTCAGGAAGGGAGATATCATTGGAGTATACAAGGATTTGAGTGATTGCCAAAATCAAGTCGGATCTTCGGTAATCTATCTGATCTTACTGTCTACCTAGGAATGCATAAGAGGCATTTTTTTCTCGTAATAGAAAAGTAAATTGTGCATCAGATTTATTACACTTATTATGTAGTTCAATAACAACGTATGTATGGATTAATTTTGGATAGTTCATCACTTCATTGTAACATTATTAGTATGAAATAGCTTCTCTGAGAAAGCTGAGAAAGCCTGTTGTGTTGTCAAAGACTTGTTCAAGCAGCATTTATGTGAATGGGAATAGGGACCGTAGAGGTTTAATGGTTACTCTCTCAGTAATCAAATAACTGTATACTACCCTCTGTCCCTTTTATATTGGTACAGAGGAGGGTGGCACGATTATTAAGAAAAGTGGGTTTGTGTGGTTGATATTAGTTGATAAAGTAAGAATAAAGTAAGAATGATTTAGAGCAACACAAATTTTACCAAATATGGTATGGGACAATATTAGTGGGACTTCCCAAAAAGGTAAAACGGGACAATATAAGGGGGACGGAGGGAGTATTAACAAAAAATTGTTGTGTTTAAGGTAATAGTTTAGTTTTTCATACATTAGGGAAATAACCCTATCAATTTCTAGGCATTAAAAGTAACAATAAACAGTGCAATAAGTATGCGAACTACGAAGTCAATTTATTTACGATGGTTTAGTTTATCCATTTGCTAAATGGACGGTTATCTGGTGTAGACTGTATCGTTAGTCAATGGGCAATAATTTAAGAACGAAGGACTGTATGTATATCCTTCTGGTTGATTTCAGTCTACCACTTGGAATTGTGAATCTCAAGTTTTTTTTTATAGTTTGGTGAGGAAACTGCAAGGGCTAGCCGCTAGCCATTTCCTGTTGCATTTAGGTTGTTCTGGTATGTAGGAAACAAGTCTTTATGCAATTCTTGTTTGGATACATCTGGTGGAATTCCAGGAGTTTTTTTTGGAGCTCTTTAAATGTTATCTATTGTCTCCCTGGTTGGTTCAGCAATTTATTTAGTAACACCATTTTGGAAAATGCGACCAGTTTTTGATTAATTTTCCATGTGCAACACAACCAAATAATTAGATATTCAGACAATTATTGGATGCTTGGAACTATTGTACATTTGTACCTCAAAGAAAAGTTATTTGAACTTTGTTCTGATAATTCAGTTGTGTGTTTTTTCCTGCCAGATATGCGATCCTCCAGTTAGTGTGTATAAAGGATTTTCTATGCCCAAGGGCACAGAAGAATATCTTCTTTCTCGTGGACTTAAAAATGCCCTGTATTCTGTCAGAGCCCAAGATGTAACTGAAAATCTTTTTGGCACTTTGGAACCTTGTCCTATTCAGGTGAGAGATTTATCTTTCTGCATGTGTGTGAATTAGGTCACATTAACTGTCCAAACTGTGACATGAGGATCTTACTACAACAACAAAAAGAACATCCAAGTCTTATTCCTAAAAGAGTTTGAGGTCTGCTAACATGAATCAACTTATTATATCAGAGTTAAAAAAAATAGATAAGGAAAGAGGGAGATGAACAGTGAATCAGCATGGCAATCTGACTGTGAGGTTAATATTTCATGTGGGTTTACCTAATTGGAAATATACGGCATGAAACAAATCAGTAGGAAACAAGAATGGGAGGATGGTTATGTTTGATATTTTAATGTTAATTCACTTAATTGTATTACTGATTTACTGCATATTTTATTGTACTCTCATCTAGTTGAGCTTACATTCAAAATAATAATTGGGCAGCTGGTTTAAACACAGTTATTGGAGCCTTCATATGGTCCAGATTAAAAAACTTTGTTAAGGGAATATGTTTTAGCTTTTAATAGATAGCTTGTGTCTGGAAAAATTCCATGAAAATGACTAAAATTTAATTTTTTTTTAAAAAAAAGGATCATCATTATTATTTCCAGAATGTAGAACTTGTTCACTCCTAAAAATAGAATTCACGAGTAGTTCTTTTCAAGGACGAAATGGGTCCTATTTGTATATATGACCCATGTTTTACTCATATAGTCGTATGTGCGATTATTTCTTTTTGTTTTTGTTTGGAAGTATACTGGATTTCTACAACTGATATAGAGTTGAATGAAGTTTTTGATGATTGTTAGGTGATAAAGGTAGGTTTGTGATAGAGCTTGAGAAGTTTAGATTAGAAGAATAATTGTGATATTTGTACATATCCATTTCAAGAGTGTACTGCCAAAAGTAAAAAGTTTAGCTATGTATACGTTTAAACTTTTATTTTATTATTAGACCTGTCAAATACACTCTCATACTATCTCAAAAAAGTCAATTAGACCTTAATACTTTGAAAACACCCAATTAAACCATCAAACTTTTAAAAAACTTTCAATGAGCAATTTTATAGGTAAACAAGCGATTCTCTCTCCCCCCTCTCCCTCTCTATCCCCCCTCTCTGGCTCTCTCTCCATTGCCTGATCTCAACACATGCAGTTAACCGGAAAACCCATTAGTCTTGGGCCAATGTTGCCCAGCCCAGCCCGTTGACGATCCCAATGTGAAAGTAACATTTACTACTCTACCGTGGAAATACACTGGCAAAAAGTGCTAAAAAGTGAGATGCCTTTTGTTCCATCATATTTTATAAATGAAATCATTGTCTTTTCACTTTTTCAGCTACCTTCTTCTTCCAGTGGCGGAGTGTCAGATAATTTCATGCCAAAGAAGAGGTCTCAGGATGCACTATGGCCGGATTATGCAGTATGTTGGTGCCCCTTTTTTGTTTATCCTTCCACTATAACTCTGGCTAAACATTAAACGGAGTAGATAAGTTTCTATTTTTATTAATCTTTCACAAAAAATCAAGAAAATATAGAAGGATAGAACTGTGAAACAAAATATACAAGAACTTGATCTATTTCCTTTCCTAAGCATTTCACATTCTGTAGTTCATTCTCCTTAACCTTTTCTGGAATACTTTGCCCTAATTGATGTAAGGCTTCGGTGACATGTAGCAGTTTGTTATACTTAAATGTTGCTTACATAACAGGAAGGGCAATATCCCTAATTGCAACGTGTCTTTTGACCATAAAATTGAAGATGAAATAATTAGATTGATAATCTGCGGCAAGTCTGTGTTGAAAAGTACTTGATGCAAATATGTTTCTATTTAGCATTTTCCCGACGCCAGCTTTAATATCATATGCAATATGCGTTTGGAAGGCTAGTCAGAGAATAAGTCACTTGGTTGTTAAGACTTAAGATGAAAGACTTCATTATATTTGTCTGTCATGGTTTCAAACACTATTATGGCCACATACTGGGGTGAAGTGATTGTTTTAATTTTCAGGATGATGCTGGACCAGCGCTGAGGCCAAATGACCCTTCACTAGGAAAGCAATTGATGTTAGAATATACTGATGAGAAAGCTATACCATCGGGTGTGAGTGGATGTTTACAATGACTAATTGCTAGTACAGATAAATACTCCAGCCCTCCCCCATTAAAAAATAGAGAAAATATCATGTCTGAGCACTGAGGTTGTTTTATTGTCTGGCAAAGAGTCTTATTTCAATAAATATCATTGAATTTAGTGCAGTTTTTAAACAAGTGAAGTGTGTTAAACTTTGTTTGATAAACATATAAGCTTTACAAATTATAAAACGATTAATTATTTACAAGACTTTTTATCTTACTAAAACGAAAAAGTTGTATCTTGATTAAAAATCACTCATTAGTCATTGCTTTTATCTTACTAAAACAAAGAAGTTGTATCCAGATAGAAATGCTCATACTGCATAAAAAATTGCTTACATAACGTGATTTTGTCAACTGATTAAGTGGTGCTATTATGATGTTCTGCAAATGATGAACATGTTATTTGGTGGCATTATAAGCAGCGGTCATGTAGTATTGAATTTGATGGTGCTTCAAAAGGAAACCCTGGACAAGCAGGGGCAGGAGCTGTGCTGCGAGCTGATGATGGCAGCGTGGTGATTATCTTATTGACCCATCTGTCTCTTTGTTTAATTCTTTTTTGTTTTCTCACATTCTCTAAACCTTACTTTCCTCCCACATATAGACCATTAAGCTTCGTCAAGGTCTGGGCGTGGCTACAAATAATGTTGCTGAATATCGAGCCATTATCTTGGGTTTAAAGTGTGCACTGAGCAAAGGGTTTACAAGAATTCGTGCACAGGGTGACTCTAAGCTTGTCTGTATGCAGGTCAGTATAACTTCATATGCACTTCATTCTTACTACATATTTAGTTGTAGCCGTTTTTGATAGGCCACGAACGGAGTTTTACTCCTATTTAGGGTTTTTCTCTTAAGAAATTTAATTATCTATTAATAAGCAAACTAAAAACTATAAAAAAATCGAATATTAAGAATTTTACATTGAGATGAAGTTAACAGTGCTTCACATTATATGATTCATTACTGCATGTCTGCATTAATGAGTAATACAGTCAAAATAGAGAATCTGAACAGTGTAAAAGTCAAAGTGTTACAACTAGTAATATAGAAATAAGGTAGCATGTAATAATCACCCTGCCATCTTGAATTTTTGACTTTTTTAATAATTAGGTCCAGGGCCTTTGGAAGGTTAAAAATGAAAACATGTCAATATTGTATGAGCAAACAAAGCAATTGAAAGAAAGATTCTGTTCCTTCCAGCTCATTCACGTTCTCCGGGTAAATTTCAGTCACTGTTTTTCTTCTCCTCCATCTTGACTGGATTTGCATAAAGTAACGTTCACCCTGTTACATTGCTCCTCCATCGACATTGTTAACATTTATTTTGGTACTGTTATAGGATTTCAATTCTGATGCCGATGCACAGGCAAACTTGGCTATCCATCTTGCGGGTAAGGTGTTTCTAAACACAAATATATGAGACCGAGTGTTTATTTGTCAAAATGTAACTTCATTGGGTTGTGCAGATGGTCAAGTTGAGGAGGAGATCGCATAGAGATGGCACACAATTGCAGAAGAGTAGTACCAAATACACTGGGGGTTAGTAGGGCCCACTTCACAAGAGAATCTTATGCTCTGGAACCGAAATGGTTAGTCTTATAGAGAACTGGTGCCAGTTCAGCAACATGGGCACAGTTTATTGCTCTTACATTCTCATTGAGTATAGAGGGGATCATGTGGTTACTTCCTCCCACCCCTCCCAGGGATTATGCGAACTACGGGGCGGATGTTTTTTTGTCTTCCCATTTGTGAAATGGAATGAACTCATCTCACATTATCATTGTCATGATTATTTTAAAGAAATTTGATCTCCTGTCCAAATTGGGCAGGTTTTATCAACTTTGACTGTTGTGCATTTTTGTTGAGAAAAATACAAAAACATTATCAGTTGACACTTGACAGCGGCCATAACACTGGAGAATAATCAGAATAGCACTAGCCGTTAGTGGTGGCATTGGATAGTTGCACTCTGAATTCGGAATTCGGTAGCGGCATTAAACGAAAGTAGCACAGAAATGCAAAACAGAGAACATGAACGAAAAGGAAACATGAGAAATGTATTTTTTGAAAAATATAATATGCGAAATGTAGGAGAAATGTGTTAATATAGGAATATACGAAGAATTTAGAAAAGTGTTCGACATAATAGGTGCACACAATTTTTTTCATTTATATATATAATGGGTGGCCTCGGGCTGGTTCGGGCCTGGACCTGGCCGGTTTACGGTTCTGTTTTGGTGGGCCCGAGCCCGAACCGGTAGCCACCAGTTCTGGGTCCGGTTTCGGGCCGGGCCACCCGTTTTTTTTTTTTTTTTTGATTCTCCTATTTAACCCCCAACCCTCCCCCCTCACCCCCAAACCACCTCAAATGGCCCAAAATACCCTGCCCAACCCAAAAACTAAAAAAAATTCAAAAAAAAAAACAAATAATTTAAATCTGGTCCGGCCCGGGCCCGAACCAGCCGGGCCAGTTCACCAAATGGAGGGCTCGAGCCCGGACCGCCATTCCACCGGGCCAGGTTGACCCGAACCGCCCCTGGGCCGGGCCGCCGGTTTGGTCCGGTTCAAACAGTGACCGGGCCGGTTCTGGGTCGGGCTGCCCAGCCCGGGTCCACCCCTAATCGTATACAGTTATACACTAAACTCATCGGTCATTAATAGGTTCGACATTATTCTTTATTGAGGTAAGGCTAGTACATCAACTTGTATGACGTGAAGTAAAGAGTGCATTATATTGCATTCGATCTTTTTAAGTATACAAATTCGGGTTTTTAGTGTTAACTGAGTACACTCGTTACAATGTTACATTAACACGTTAATACGAATGAGTTGCCTAACATAATGCTAATAAGTCGGTTTCTTGAAGGTCAATGTCAGCCCCTGCCACTTGATCGACTCCCCCCTGCTCGACGTCAAACCCCCCACAGGTTGACTTCTCCTTCATCGATGCACCCCTATTAGCAAACGCCCCCTGCGGGTCGATCTCCGTAGGTCGATTTTTCCTTTTTGATCGACTTCGTGAAGGTCGACACCATAACCTTGGTCCATTACGCCTCCGTACTCAACATTACGTTAGCCAACTCAACTATATTAACTTGTTAATCTATTAAATGTACTCAATTAATACTAAAAAACCAAATTTATGTACTTAAAAAGATCAAATTCAATATAATTTACTCTTTACTCCACCACATACAAGTTGATGTACTATTGTACTCAATTGACTTTTTGCTCATTCTTTATCCTATTGACACACTACCCTTTCTTACTTTCTTTTTTATCCTCCTCCCTTATTTATCATGTCTAAGTAATATTACATTATTACTGACCTCTCTTCCAGCACTCATATAGTTATACCCAATTTTTTCTTTCATTATTCTCTTTTGAATAATAATGACCTCTCTTCTATTTCATGTTATATAACCCATTGCTCAAGATCAAAATTTTCTCGAAATGCGATTGTAAAAGATATCTATCAGCGGTGCAAATTAGGAGTTTTACAAATATTTTTATTATTATTTTCTAAAATATAAGGTCATTTTAACACTTCATTTCTTAGAAAATTTGAAGCTCAAGTAGGAATTGCAACTCATGTATGACAGTATGAGTATGAGTCGTATGACCAAATTAAAAAGAATTGCAACTCATGTATGACCAAAATGATTATCCTAATTAAAAACAATAATAATTTGGACAAGTTAAATGCGTGATAGATGGTGTATCCCATTTTTTAAAAACTGAAAATCGAAAGCACGTGGCTGCCCTTAATGACGCCGCCAAGTCATGAACTTCAAGCAACTTCAGAGGAGAAGGTGAAGATGGCGTACGGAATTTGGCATCGCTAGCAGGCCGGAGCTTGAGCTCGTTTCCCCGCCGGCCACATAGTTTATGTAGCTTCTCCACGAATCAGTTGACGCCACCGCGTGCTTCCAAAGCCGGCATCGTCTCTTCCAGCACGGCAGCTGGACTGGTCGAGGATCTTCTGTTTGATGATGTAGTCTCTGGACCTCGTAAGTCTGATACTGATCCGACCCCGCTCCAACCTGGCGTGGTCGTGTATGACGGCTTTTGGCATCTCTGTCACAGAGGTAAATAGGTAATCGGAATAGAATATAATGGAGTTTGCCTGCTCGATTTGTACATTGTTTGCTGGTTGAAACAAATGATCTTCTGCCAATTCCTGTTGCTACTGCTTGCTATGTTTATTGCGCGCAGTATTTACTTAATTTGTCGAAACCAAGCTGAATGTTATGAACACAGCCATTTTTGCAGTACTGTCTGAAGAAGAAAACCTCGTTTCTCAATATAAAACTGCTCTGACGAATTGATTTTAGATGCATTTCATTTTCTTGTCAGTGTTTATGATTTCTTTAAGAGAGCCATTTTGTATGTTTAAGGATAACTTTTAACCTGTAAATTCAAAGGAGCTTGCTAAATTGATGTTTATAACTTTAAACTATTGCAGTTTTCTTGTTAATCGGTATGATTTGGTGCATCATAGATGTATTGCATTAAAAGATGAGTCATGGAATTGGATATACTTCGTATGTAGTGAATCTGGCAGATCCACACAATAGCAGTTTGGTTATAATCTATTCATCGAAGTATTGATGCCATCCACTAACTTAAGGTTAGGCCTCAAGCTGTCTGTGCTGATGTGTTTGACTACATTGATTATATGATTGTAGGGGTGAAGTGGGTGATTGAAGCAGACAAGGATAGGAAGATTAAGTTTTGTTGCCTTCAATCAAAAGCTGCTGAACCATACATGAGTTTGCGTAGTGTTGATAGAAATGATGTGCTTCACCGATTCTTGTTCATTGAACGCCCAGGTCTATACTATCAAGGCTCTACTGGTTAGGAACAAATCTCTATGAATTACCAACTCCCCCATACATGCCTTTTTCCATCAAATAACCATTAGCTCACTTTTCATTAAGTTTACTTTTGAGTTGATGGAGATTACAATATCACTAATATACTAGCATTATTAGAATGCATAGTCTATCAGTACAAATTTTCTTTATATAATTGAAAAGTGACACAATAACATTAATTATGTGTGTGCTGTTGATAGGTATCTAGTAGTAATCCTAACAAAAGTAGTAACAAGCAACACCGATCTGGATAAAAGAGGAATATGGCGTTTATTGATAAGAATAAACTTCGACTTAGGCAACAAGGTATCGGGACTTGGTATCGGGACTCGCAAGGCAACAAGGCAACACTTGATATCAAAATAACAGTCTACCCTCTTATTAGCTATCCTACCTTAGTATTTATAGTAGTTAGTCCACGCAGGGACTAAATTATATAAACAGACCCATTAACTGACCCCCAGCCCATTTAATTGACCTCAGCCCTTATAATTTCCCTTACAAATACCCTAATAAAAAAGACTGAATAGGCAGATTCCTATCATTACTCCCCCCCCTAAACAACCACCTTGCCCTCAAGGTGGGTAATAAGACACAGCCTTGATCTTGAACTTCCTCTTCATCCTGGAACCCCTTCCTTCCCACTACCTCCTTGGTTTCTGATCTAGGAGCTTCATTTCTTTCACTTTCATTATCACCTCTTTCACAGCAAACCGGAGCAGGAGCAGAAACTGGGTGTAAGAATTCCCTGGAATTACACTTGAAGCCTCTACTTTGTAGCCAACAGCATCATTTAAAGGTTCTGCCAGATAAAATCCAGCTGCCCTTGTAGAAATTTCAGTTGCTACATCATAAAGAACTGCAGCCACTTGCTTACTCAGACCTTCATTATGATGCAGCAACATCTTCCCAACTTCAGCTGATTTATCAGTCCACCTCTTCCCAGTAATTCCTTCTTGTAACATATCTTTGATAATCCTCTCTATTACACCTTTTTGGTATGGCAGGTACCTATAAAGCTTCAGGGTAGGTACTTCTGCTCCTCCTTTAATGTTAATAGCACAGTCACACCTACTGGAAAGAGGAAATCCAGGTCTGGGAGTAGATACCTTAGGAAATTCTGCCACAACTCCTTCCCTTTTGGTATCCTTCAGCTGATTTCCTCCTCCCTCCAATTTTCTGCCTTCCCAGTAAATCAGATAGCCATCACCAGTCTCTTGTACAGTTTGTGACTTGGTCTTCAGAGATACTTCCATAAAATTTGACTTAAGAACCCCTTGAATAGCCTGACTTACCCCCAGCTGATGCCATTTTATGCTCTTATTCTGAAAATTGATCTCCAAATCCCCCAATCCAGTCAACCAATCCATGCCAAGAACCAAGTCAGTTCCCTCTAACTCCAACATGTAGAAATCTTGTTGAATGACAGTTCCCTGCATGCACAGAATTAACTTTTCACACCTGCCCTTGTTGGAGACCTTATCATCATTCCCAAGCTGGACCTTGTAGTCAGCAATGGTCTGATAAGGGAGGGTCAACTGCTCTACCATTTTCTGTGATATGAAGTTGTGGGAGGCTCCACTATCAATTAGAATCTCTACTAGCTTCTCTCCCTTAGCCCATTTCAGAATTCCATGTATCCTAAAAGCCCTCATCGAAGGTGTATCCTCCTGGTTCATGAAGGATAATTGCAGGGACTTAGATTCCATGGTGATGTTTTCATCTTCCGGGATTACTTCTGAGTTATCTAGTTCCGCTTCTCCCTCGGAATCCTCCACTAGAATCAGTTTGTAATTCTTCATCTTGCAGGAGTGCTCTCTTCCCCATCTTTCACCGCATTTGAAACAAAGCCCCTTCTGGCTCCTATCTTGGTATTCTTCGTGTGTTAGCTGTGGCCCTACTCTTATTATGTCTGCGGGATTTATTTCTGTTTCCTTCTTCCCATCTGGAGTAAACCAAGGTTGGTTTCCCTTGTGGTCTGCCATATTTCTCCCATTATTATAATGCCCTGAACTGCTTGCCTT